TCCACTGTACCCGGGGTAGGGTTTCAGACTACATGGGAAGGCTTAATTTACTTTACTCAGGGTGACGGGGTACAGACTAAATGGGAAGGCCTAATCTACTGCATCCAAAATGAAGGGGTACAGGCTCCATGGGAAGGCCTAACCCACTGTACCCGGGGTAGGGTTTCAGACTAAATGGGAAGGCCTAATTCACTGTACCTAGGGTGAGGAGGCACAGGTTCCATGGAACGCCTAATCGACTGTAAGACTTTGATTCAACGTGTTTTAGACAATATCACCTAGTACTTGGATACACGAGGTCTTATTTAAACGCACAAAACTGGTGAAAACGCATAATATAGACATAACTCATATCCTGTCTTACGTGTACTTCATACATGAAAATGATAAAACGACGCTTGGAGTCGCGAAACATAATAGAAACCCCCAAATCTATGAAACACAATCCACTTCTTTGTAAAGGTAGATTAATACTAGAGTAGTAGAGATGTTACAATCTGTTATGAAGTGACGTTGTCGCCACATGGCGCGCATTCGAATATCGTGGAAACAAATTACCCGCGTTGAAAAGTCGGGTCGAATACGACGCGGAACGACGTCTACGTCGCTTTGGCGTAGCGCGTGTCCGAATTTCGTGTAAACGAAAAAATTATCTTACACGTATTGTATAAGTCGCATGGAACCCATATCAAATCGAACACTGCGCGCCGCGACGCGACGAGTAGCGCCCTCATATTACACTTTACTACAAAACGACGACGTCAAAACGGTGTTTATACGTCAAATATATAAATGTATTGAAACGTAAATCGATCGAGTTCCAGTCCAGTAGATCTGACCTGAAGCAGTAATGACACAACTACCGGTAAGACATGTTAACGTTGTGCGTGCTTCCTGTCCTGACGAGGTAGACTTCGCTACATAGAAACCAACCACCCTATCCATACCCACCCAGAATCAAGTGAAGACTCGACCCCTCTCGCAACTCAATACCCGGGCAGAGGAGAGTAGTTTCTTACATTTTCTAATTATAGCAACACTTGTATCACGTGACATGAAACGACACTGTATTGACTTCACGGTAAAGTGTTTTATTTCACCAAATTTGCAAATAAACTGTCTATGAATAAACCTCTGGCGTCACGTGAGAAGCCGCACCTGTGAGCCGATTCCGATGTTTGACGAAGGCGACAGGCGTCGATTCACATCGCGACATTTTAGAATTATGAGTACATTGTAATTGTTTGCATGTCATTACCCCCATTAAGATGTTTAGCTTCTTGTAAATACATTATTGCATACATGTCTCTGCAAATATCATCAAATGTTGTTTCATTATGAATGTGGGCAGCGAAATATCGAAATCGAGCCGACAAAAAAACGGTTCACTGTCAATGAAATCAATATAGGTCGAAGTCCTTATGTCCATCTTTAATTTTAGCCATGACATGCATTGGCACTAATATTGGCGGTGTTCCTAATAGTTGTGACTTCATGTGACTGTTTTTTTGTTTTTACCCCAAATTAGAGATTGATTATGCTACGTCACGTGCATGCAGCTAAGAAGCACTTAAGTACTGCGCATGAGTAGTCGTCAATACGAGTAGCATGTTGAGTTTCACCTGGCATTGTAACAGTATCGCTGTTGCCAGTTCAATCCAATATTTGCCGTCGGTGTGGTACAAACACACTTTGGTCGGGATCATACTGGCTAGCCGGCTAACATTTTTCTACCGCTTTTGGTTGTCCTAGCAGCATAGGTCACCCAGGACAGTTTGTTTTATAAATGTGTATTGCATTTCAACTTTGGACTGTTCTACAGCGTGGATTCTTTGCATGACTTCTGTCTTCGCGGGAGCGTCGCGATCACGCCTTTGTTTGGGTGCGTTTTATTTATTATTTGCTTCCAAGCTAGAGGTGCTGTTTTCACTTCCCGGGGTTATTGTTAATAGATGCTAATGACATCGATTGTACCACAATGGGGTATAAACGAAGATAACGAAGTCGTTTACCTACGCGGTTAGCAAGAGTTTAGGATCAACTATATAGTGTTATATTATTGTAAAACAAAACCTACGCTATACATTTTTGTTGTTCCGGTTTCTTTTTTCGTGTTTTTTCTCAATGTCGTTGCGTTTGTCGGTTAGTAGACATGCAAGCATTTGGCATTTTGCCTGAACGAGTGTGACACACCGCCGTAAAATCGATCGAGTCGCACAGGTTATAAATGCAGACATCCGCCTCTACCGTATCTACATGGATGGCGTTGCAACCCGGGACAGAAAACCATCCAGTCTTACAGGGATTATGGGGAGACAAACATGCCACCATGTCGAACAGGATACTGAAATACTGGAACAATTATTGGAGGTACATTTTGAGGGGTTGAATCAACCTGTCGAGCCGCCTAAAGTTGACCCGTCGAAATTCTGCGACGACATCTGTGGATGGCTTCCAGACCCCAACGTGCAATTCAGAAGACCGGAAAAACTTAAAAACAACTCTACAGTACGGCCGATCTCCTGTAGAAAGCCACGGCAGGTGAGCAATCGTGAGAATTTTCAGTTTATTCACCACAGCGACTCAAAAAGATACATTGAACAGTACAGGAGGCTACATACGTGTGGCGGTCCTCTGGAGAAACTAACACAGGACACACAGGGAAAGGACACTTCGATATATTATACGCCGTTGGATCAACACCGCGAGACAAATGGGAACACAAACAGTTATAAACACAGTCACAAGACGCATACCCCAACCGTGAACAGGGCGCCTTTAAACTATGTTGCTACTCCAAGGGATATAGCTCCCTTTGACTGCCTAGTCAAGCCGTCTGTGACTCAGTACAAACCTATGTACAATATTCAATCTAGTAGTCCACATGAAGCTGACACTGGGACAGGCAACAACAATAACAACAACAGTGACAGCGGCACCAGTCGAAGCAGCTCTTCTGAAACGTCGTGCAAGTGTGCCTATATTAACAGTAATGGTATGGTGTTCTCTTTGCCTAAGCCCAGGCTTTACGTGGCACCTAAATCTCCCTCGGGCATCAACGTAAGTGCACCCCCTGGCGGGTTAGGTCGATCGCCTCATCGACAGTCACCACCGAATGGATTTTCATTCGATAGAAACATTGGGTAAGTGCATTGTACCTTCAAAATAACATATTCCAATTAATCCCTCGCTAGTAGCCTTTCCAAGCTGCCGAAATTTTCATTTGTGTGGGCTAACAAAAACACCTGTTGATATCCGGCCTATATACAAATGCATATAAGGGCTTTAAACCACTTTCATGTTTCCATGGCAACGTCATGGTGGTCAATTCGATGGTCTCGTCGTAAGCCATAGTTTAGGCTACATTAGCCGTTTGACATTGCTTATAGTAATAATAGACAGCGTTGGGTTGGTATTGTTCCCTGGGTTGATATCACAAAGCAAATATCACCAGGACTATGAAAGCGGGGTATTAAAGGTCGGTCGGTTTATAGACTGGTCGACTTCATGTACAATAACGCTACCCCGTTATAGGTTTTCTAGTGTCGTTTACGACGTGGAGGTTGTTTATGTTTATGAGGCATGTTAATAATGGTTTTCTGTCTTTTTGAACCACCCGTTGATACCAGGTGCCTCGTGTCGTGGAATTCTGAAGGATTCTGAAAGAGTGCTCATTGTCGACATTTTATATGAATGTACCGTAGTACCATGTTAGTGACGCATAGTGACATTTTAGTCGATCTCACTTTGCGAATACAAAACAGTTCAAATGACAAGTACAGGGATACTCCGAATGTTCGCAAAGTTGTTTGCAAATTAGGCGCGGTGCACGGTAGATGCGGCGTCACCAACGCGTATTGAATTGAAACTCGCCAATTATTATGAGTGCATATTGAATTAAAATAGTCAAACACAACATAATAAATCTAATAATATTAAAGCGAAAGTCCCCGTGTTGCGTCTTGTTACGAACGGGTTCCATGCGACTTATATTACGCATCGACATGTAAGTTATTTTACAGGAAATTGAAACGAGCTCAGCGCGACGTTATAAAGTCGTTCGCGGGTATTCAATCTAATAACTGAGGACGAGCATTTTTTGTTTTAAAAGCGTCAAATAATTATGGATTTCAGTGGCGGCGGCACATGGGGGGGGGGCAGATTTGGCGGTCGAACACCCGAAAAATGCTGCGGGGCGTCGCCCCTCTCAAAATCTAGCTGAAGCCCTTTGTGTCAGCAAAATTTGCCCCTCAAAATGCAGAAAATAACGTTTCAGAGCGTTAGATTTCAAATCTCGCCCCTTCATGCAACATTTAGTGCCGCCGCCTTTGACACACACACGTCATCAGCATTTCGTTTTCAATTTTATCCCGTACAAACAAGTATTTTTTTGTTGGAACAATTCTGTCTAAAAAAATCAGAAATTTTAGTTTTTGGAACATTTTTCGTTGGAATCATAGGAATTTCATAAAAAATAATAACTACCATGAGCATTAAATGACTCAAAACTCGTCGTGACCATTTTCATGGACGCCACGTTTTGTGTGATGAAAAGGACTCCATATATACTAAAATCAATATACGGCAAAAGTCAAGGAACCTATCTGATCATCTGTTTAAATGGTAGCCAGCTATTTACGAATAGTTTCATTAATCTGACATCACACTTCGTAATTATATTCTGAATCAACCGTAGTAAGTGCATTCTTGCGTTCCTAAGTACATTATTGTAATCGTAGGTTCATGCCCTGTACTATTTAGTGTAGAGGTCACGTGACCTATCCATTCCAATCATGTATTTCTTGTATATGAGATACTGATGAAGATTAATTCAACAATCTGAAGCCAATCATCAGCAACAATATCACATTTTGGCATTCTGAGTCTGAGTGGCTAGCGTACGGTCACACGCCCATGGAATATAAATTAGCTATGATGTGAATGGACGGGGTACACATGGTGTAAGTTTTCTTTGTAATTGGCTACGCTATTTTGGAGTAAAACCAACAGATGAATGGCAGGGAGTGGTGGTTCGTGATAATGCACGCGTAAAACATTCAATTTAAGATCACCTCGGTCATCGCTGTAACGACGTTTAAACTACATCCTATCAGAGAAATGTAGCTATCGTAATTTATTCATTTAAATAATAAACTTGATAAAGTCGAAAGTTAAATGCAATTACAGTTAAAGCGGATGGGTCGTCATTTGCGTACGCGCGGGAATTGAGTCCCAAGCGACGATAACAACGCACGCTAAAAACGCAAAAGCTCATGTGTTAGACGCGAGTTTGTAAACAACGACACGCTATGGTCGTTTGCCGAGTATTTGTAAACAAAGACCGGAATATCATTCGAGATACTCTAATAAGATATGCTTATTGTGCATATATATTTAAGTCTTACAATGGACCTAAGAATAAAATATCGTTGCTGCATTCAGTCGATCGCATACAGCATGTAACTGAAGACACTTGTGGATTCGCGCTCGTAACCCTGGGAAATCGTCAC